AAAATTTTTCAGAAGATTAATAGCTATCAAACTAATCGAATTAGAATCATATTTTACAAAAGATGGAGTTATCTTATGAGCACACATATACATATATATTATAAGATAAGAAGTTATATACTAAATATATAGTGACGAACAACATACAATTATTAACACTTTAAGTACAAACTCCATGCAGTAAACTTTCGATACTGTAAAGTGATATTCAGACAGCCAACGATGTCGTTTAAGAACGAAAAAATTGGTATAATTGGCAGGTAATAAAATTAATTAAATATAAAGTAATTAAAAAATTTTAGTTTTTATTTAGAGGTAATTTAATAATTTATATATATCATTTTATTGAAATTATACATTATCATTTCATATTATTATAATAAAATTATTTTTAACAAGCAATAATTATTCAGACAATCAACTTATTTTATAAAGTTATTAAACATTTTTATATATTTTATAATTTTACATTTAATATCATGTATAATATATTAATTATATAATATATACATATATAATATAATAAATATTTTTTAATAAATATATAAAACTATAAATTTAAAAAAAAAGTTATTTATAAAAAAAACTAAGAATCATATTTATCTTTAATCTAAAATTATTTTGAAATTATAATTCATTTAAAAATTCTATTACAGATACCCTTAAATTGATAAGATAATAGCAAAAAAGTTAAATAGTAAACAACAATTATATAAAGAATTATATAAAATTTTCTTTTCATAATAATATTTTAATAATATATCGAATATATTACTATATGTTTATATATGAAATCCAAAATTTAATATCTAATTTAAATAATACAATTTATAATAACAAATTAATATAAAAATTATAATAATATTAAAAATTTATTAATTCAATTTAAAACATAATAATAATTAATTAATAACAATATAATTTATTTTAGTGGTTTAATTGGTCGCAGTTGGTCAATGCTTTTTGCTAGTGTAGGATACGAAGTAATTATTTATGACATTGTAAAAGAACAAATCACTCGAGCTCTTGAAGATATTCATCAGCAATTGAAGCATCTTGAAAATAGCGGTCTTTTAAGAGGTGCACATACCGCGGAGCAACAATTTAAATTGATTAAAGGTTCATTCACATGTATAATTATTCATAAAATTTATATTATATAATTCAAAAACAATATTAAACAATTCAAAACATTATATTATTGATTAATTAATAATCAACAATTAATAATCAATTATCAACAGGATCAACTAATTTAGTCGAAGTTGTAAAAGGGGTTAAGCTAATACAAGAATGTGTGCCTGAAAATTTACCATTAAAACTTAAACTTTATAATGAACTCGATAACTTAGTTGATGATAAAGTTATTTTATCTTCTTCAACATCTACTTTTCGTCCCTCTTTATTAAGCGAAAATTTAAAACATCGTGAACAAGTTATTGTATCGCACCCGGTATGTATGTTGCATGTTACTAAATTATAGTATATAATATGATAAGTATAATATAAGTATATATAATAAATATTTGTATATAATAAATATTCATATATAGTCAAGTTAAATCATATTTCAAATTAATAAAAAATAAATCAAAGTTTCATGAAATAAAATAGTTTCCAGTGATGATTTCAAGCATATGCACCTCTTGATGTATTATTCGAAACTATTTAATTTTGTCTATAATAAAATTTCCTTTATATTCATCTTTTATCGTTTTAAATTATATTTAATAATAAATTAATTACAAGAAACACTCTTTCAATTTAAAAATTTTGTAAAAATAAATGATTAATTATATTATATTAAATATAGGTAAATCCCCCATATTATGTACCACTTGTAGAAATAGTGCCAGCTCCTTGGACTCGTGCTGAAATACCATTGCAAGTGAAAGCTATTATGACTGAAATAGGTCAAACACCTGTTGTACTAACTAGAGAAATTGATGGTTTTGTGCTTAATCGAATACAGTAATGTAACATTTTTATGATAATATGAATTTTTTAAATTTTTTTTTAAGTTTGTAACTTTTATTTTCTATTTTTTATATATTTATTGAAAATAATATATAAAAATATTGTTTACTTTAGATATGCAATTTTAAATGAAGCATGGAGATTAGTTGCTGACGGAATATTAAATGCGAAAGATGTAGACGCAGTTATGAGTGAAGGTCTTGGAATGCGATATGCATTTCTTGGTGCATTTGAAGCGGCGCATTTAAATGCAGAAGGTATATGTAAATTCTTATTATCCAAAAAGGAATTTATTAAATCAATAATTGCATTTTTCTCAGGAATGAAAAAATATTGTGAAACATATAAAAATTCAATTTATGATGTAAGTATGACGTTTGGTCCAGTTCCTAAATTTGAAGGAGAAATGGCAGAAAAAATTAGCAATGAATTAAATGAGATGTGTCCACTAGAAAAATTAAAAGAAAGACGTATATGGAGAGATGATGCTTTGACAAAATTATCTCTATTAAAAAAAGAATTGAATAAGAAAAAATAAAAAAATTATTATATTAAAATGTTGAAATTGTTTATTATTAAATAAAATTGTAACAAATATAATATGTTAAAAGTTATTTTTTAACGAAATTTTTATTGAATCTCGTTAACAATTTGATTTTTGAATTCATGAAATTCCTATCCAAATTTTCATCAGGTTTTGAAACTAGCTTTTTTTTTTAAATATTTATTCAAGAAATAAAATATCTTAATAAGTTTTAATTTTTAAATTTTTAAAACTTAGAATTCGATTATTATTAATTAAATAAAAATAAATTCATATCACTACAATATTTTCATTTTCGTTATTTAAGTTTTTAATTTATTATTTTTTGAGTTTCGAATTATAAAAAATTTCAAGAATCAAAATTTTTTAAACTGCAAAGAATTTTATTAAGTTTTGAATAGCCTTTGATTTTGAATATTTTTAAAATAAAAATTAAAATATCTTAGTATTTAGTAATTGATGAAAATATTGTTTGGAAATTGAAATAAAAAATAAATTATTTAAATATAAAGTTCTTTTTATTTATACAATGCTGAAATTTAACGTTTGCCTCCAACACGTGGAGCTGATTTTTGTGTTATTTTTGCAGCTTTATGTTTTGGAATAGCTTTTGTTTTAGGAGGTACAACTGCTTTCTTTGTTGCTTTTGCAGCTTTCTTTTGTTCCTTTGCAGCTCTAAAAGAGAAATAAATAGTATTTATTTAAAATATATATATACTTTAATAAATATAATAATAGATGTGTAACATTTATAATATGTATAAAATTTGTATGAACCCGCAAAAACCAGACAGTGTAATGAATATAACAATTCTGGGTGAAGCAATTCATTTATTCTAAGACATTCTGAAATCAAACATGAAATGAAATATCATATCTAAGGAACAGATGTCTATAAATTTTTAATTTTTAATTTTTTTATTGTGTAATTAATTTTTGTGATTAAATTGAATGATATAATTGTGATATAAATTGAGACAAAGTTTAAGTTTTGAAATAATACTTACTTAATTGCTTGTTCTCTCTGTGCTTTACGAATTTCTGGTTTCATATTACGTTTTGCCAAAATATCTGTAAGAGATGCACCTACAATAGCACGTTGAAATTTTTGAGTACGTCTTGTTCTTTTTTTTGCTTGTTCTTCTTCTTGTCCTTTTTTATGCTTTCGTCTATAATATTAAATTATTTTTTATGAGACTAGCTTTTATCATTGAAAAAAGTTAAAAATAAATATACCTATATAATACAGTCCATGTGACTTTTCTTGGATTACGCCTCATTAAATGTGCGGATTCACATTTTGAATTCAAGAAAGTGAATGTCTAAAAAAATATAGAGGTTATAGATATCAAATAAATGTAAAAAAATAAAAACTAATAAATAGTAGTAAATATTAATAATGAGAATTTAAGAATTTATAAAAAAATAATTAATTATTAAACATACTTTTCCATCTACTTTTACCATGGTTTTACCATGACCGGGATATATTTTATATCCACTGTATGCACAAAGACCGATCCTAAAAAAATTAATATTAATACCATATTTATTATAAATATTTTAATAGTATATTCTTGTAATATGTTGAAATAATTTTTTATGATTGCATTTAATTTAATAGATATACTTCTTAAAAACTTCCACTTACTTCATGTTTAATTATCAAGAAAAGACGGATTCCACAAAAATGGCTGACTTCGTATACAATATGGTGGAATGTATATTAAATAGTACCAATTCTTTAAAATTAAATTTTATATTTAATGATATTAAATATATTAGTGAATGAGATAAATGCATCTAACGTAAATATTTTAAACAGAAATATCTATAAATTTTTATAGATATACAAATAGTTTTATGAAATTAAAGATATTGACTATAAATTTCTTTTAACACGTATAATAAAGAAGATAATTATTTTTTGATAATAATTACAAATATGAATTTTTGTTTAATATTATATAATAAAAGTTTTTATAATAATTATTAAATTGAAAATATTTACACTTTTAAGTTATTTTTGTTATAAAAAAAGTAAAAAATCACGTGCTTTTATATTTTTAAGGTTAATATTTACATGTGTATTATTATCAACGCAAATTGTAAATTTCGAAAATGAAAAATACAAATATTGTGGGATTTGCTGATCCAAAAGAAATAAGTGATAATGATGAAGAAAATGAAATTAATAATATTAAGAAGAAAGTATATAAAAAATCAGGAGGATTTCAATCTATGGCCCTTAGTTTTCCTATATTAAAAGGAATATTGAAACGTGGATATAAAATACCAACACCTATACAAAGAAAGGTAAACTGATTTTAATCAAAATAAATGAATAATATTTATAACTGGTATGTAATAATCTAATTATTTTTTATTTTATTATATTGTACATTATGTAAAAATATGTAATGTTTTTATAGACAATTCCTTTAGCTTTAGAAGGCCGTGATATAGTAGCCATGGCTAGAACAGGTAGTGGAAAGACTGCTTGTTTTTTAATTCCTTTATTTGAAAAACTTAAAACAAGACAAGCAAAAGCTGGTGCAAGAGCTTTAATTTTATCACCTACTAGAGAACTAGCATTACAGACATTGAAGTTCATAAAAGAATTAGGCAGGTTTACAGGATTAAAAGCAACTTTAATTTTGGGTGGTGATAATATGGAAAATCAATTTAGTGCAATTCATGGAAATCCTGATATATTAATAGCAACACCAGGAAGATTTTTACATATATGTGTAGAAATGGATTTACAATTAAATAATATAGAGTATGTAGTTTTTGATGAAGCTGACAGGTGAATATTTATATATATTTTTTTCTTAAATTATAATTTTTTTTTATTAATTAATTTATAAATTATATTATACAGATTATTTGAAATGGGTTTTGGTGAACAAATTAATGAAATTATAAATAGATTACCAGAATCAAGACAAACATTATTATTTTCTGCAACATTACCTAAACTTTTAGTAGATTTTGCAAAGATTGGATTAAATGATCCCGTTTTATTACGTTTAGATGTAGAAAATAAAATACCAGAACAATTAACACTTTCATTTATAATATGTCGACCAGAACAAAAATTGGCAATATTGTTATGTTTGTTAAAAAATGTTATTAAAAATAATACTCAAACAGTAATATTTGCTGCTACAATGCATCATGTTGAATATATTCATCAGGTATAAAATTGAAGTTTGCAATTAATATTAATTATTGCAATTTAATATTAATATACTATTTTGTATATAATAATCATATTTCATTAATAGATATTAGAAAAAGCAGGAATTTCTAATACATATATTTATTCAAATTTGGATGCATCAGCTCGAAAAATAAATGCAGCTAAATTTCAAACTAATAAAGTCCATGTTTTAATAGTAACAGATGTTGCAGCACGAGGTTTAGATATTCCACATTTAGATAATGTAATTAATTTTAATTTTCCTGCAAAATCAAAACTTTTTGTACATAGAGTAGGTAAGTAAATGTTTTAAATTGGATAATTTATAGACATATAATTAAATATTTCAATTATTTTGTAAGTAATGATGTAATTTTGTAAGTAATGACTTTAATGAAACATTTGAGATAATTGATTAGTTTCAAGCAAAATATAATTTGACATAAAAAATAATTTTTTATAACTGAATGCAATTGAAAGACATAAAAATGAAGATTGATAAATGATTATAAATTTTTAAATGAAATTATATATTTTTTAATATATTAATTGATATCATTACTTTGTTAAAAAATCATTGAATTTATAATAAAAAAATTAATAATTAAAAAGATATTTTAATTTGAATTATAAAACTTATTATTATATCAAAAAAAAGCATGAATAAAAAAATTTGCATATTTCTTATTTCTGTTATAAAAAATTTTATAAAAATTAAATCAAAATATCTTTTAACTTTTAATGATTTCTTTTATATTCTTTTATGAATTAAAATTTTTTCTTAGTATATTTTCAGCATAGATTATCAATTAGAATAAAAAATATATATTTCTGTTTAGAAAAATAAACTTAATCTTCATATATTCTTTATATAATTATATAAAAAATTATTTTTATATTAAATTATATAAAATTGTTTCTCATTCATTTTTACTAAAATTATTATTTATAGAATAATGAACTGATCCCAGTTACATATCTTATCTCATATAATATAATTAATATATATAATAATAATTATATATTATAATATAATAAAATAATTATGTAGGTCGTTGTGCGCGAGCAGGTCGTACTGGTACTGCATACAATATTGTTAGTCCAGATGAATATGCTTATTTGCTAGATTTACATCTTTTTCTTGGACGCTCATTACATATTGTACCATCTTCTGGATCCATACAAAATACAGATGGTATTATTGGTAAAATGCCACAAGCAATGATAGAAGAAGAACTTGCAGAGTTAATAAATTGGCACAATTGTTCCACGGATCTTGTATGTATTTTCAATATAATTATTTAAAAAAATATCAATGATTTTATATTTCTATTTTGTTAAATTTTATATGTAGAAAAATATGGAAAAAGTTTGTAGTAATGCATATAAACAATATATTCGATCACGACCTGCAGCATCATCAGAAAGTATTAAAAGAGTAAAGGACTTACATATAAGTGAAGCAGGAGTTATACCAGAATATTCTGATGTTTCTTCAAATACTATGAATTTATTATCAAAAATAGTAAATTACAGACCACAAGGAGTATGTATATTTATAAAATTTATATTAATTATACATCATAATTACATAGTTATAATATTTAATTTTTAAATATAAATATTCCAGACAATATTTGAAATTGGAACAAAGACATCCTCTATTGATTATCAAATTATGAAAAAAAAACGTACATTACACAAAGAAAATATTATAAATTTTCGTAGAAAAGTAGATGAATTAAAAATCAAAAAAAAATCGGAAGGTAAATACAAATTTTAATAAATAAATTATTTAATATAAATTTCTATATTCTATTAATATAGATTTATAATCTAATAATTGAAAGTATATATTATAGATTTATCAAGAACAGTGGATCTTCCATCAAGTACAACTGATGAAATCAGAACAGCATTTAATACAATTGTGCTTCCAAAGAAAAGAAATCTCGATGATTTGTATAAATATAAAAAGAAAAAACGATCAGTAATACGAGATGAAGAATTTTTCATTCCATATTACGCTCCCGATAAACATACAGAAGAAGGGTAAGTTTTTAATAATTAAATAAATATTTTTATTGCATATATATTATATTTAATTATATTCTTACAGTTTAGCAGTTAATTCTTTTAATGCAGAAGCAGAAAAAGTACAAATGGACTTAACTGCTGATAATGAAGAATCTCAACGATTACAAACACAAATTAAAAAATGGGATCGTAAAAAAAAGAAAATAATTACTATTAATAATGTACGTTAAAATTATGTTACGTTTAAAATTATTAATAAATTTATAATAAATAAAATACTTGAAAGAAACATTCTTTTTAGGAACAAAATGTTCGTAAAATACGAACAGAATCTGGAGTTTGGATACCTGCTAGTTATAAATCAAATCGTTATTCAACTTGGAAAGAAAAAAGCAAAGTTGATGTTACAAATGACGATAACAGTGAAGAAGAATCTTCACAAATACAGAAATGTATGTGTAAATATCATTTGTTAGTAGTATGTATTAGCATATACATTATAAATATATATATATATATATATATATAAATATAATATAAATTTTTTAGTGAAAACAATAGCTAATACACATTGGGCGCGACACAATCAAAAGATAAAAGAAAAAATTAAAAGAAATAATGAATTGAAACGGCCAGAACAAATTCTAAAAGCACGTAAATTGCTTGATCAAAGACGTAAAAGAAACGGTCGAAAAAATAAAAGAAGTCAGAGAAATAATGGAAAGAAACATTAAAAACAACTTATCATATTTATATATATGTTCCAAATATTGAAAATATGTTTTGCAATATAAAGAATAAATATTTTATCATGTATATCTCTTCTATTTTTCTTTCTTTTTATATTTATATTTAATTTTAAAAAATATAAAAATAATATTGTTTTTTAACAAGATTTCGAATTTCAGAAAAAAAAAAGATTAGGTTATTCAAAATTAAAAATAATATTGTAATAACTTTTCATCATAAAATGATTATGAAATATTATATAATTTGAGAAGATTTCTATTGCATCATTGTCAATTTTCTCATAATTCTTGGTTTCTTCATCGGAAGCTTATTACTTGGAATTGGAGGTAGTTTTCTGCGAAATGATGGAAGCCTCAGAAAATTATATAGACTAAGAAGAATGTTATTTTATGCAAAAAATAATAAATCTTAAAAAAATTTTGATAAAAATTATTAATCATTTTATATTTTAAAAACAAAATGACAATTTTTTTATATTGCAAATGAATTAATTTAATCATGGATGTGACTAAATTATGATATAAATTTGATTATATAAATTATATTACAAGTTTGATTATATATTATATATGATATATATAAGTTTGGTAATTGATGCTTTTGCATTGTTTTACAAATGTTGAATTTCAAGTACTGCAAAATATATAATATATCGATATTAAATATTGTATTAAATATGATACATATAATATGAATTAAATATATAGTTTTGTTCTAAATGACGAAAAGTATATTCTATCTTTAAATTTATTTATATTAATAATTAATATATTGTATTATATAATAAATTGATATATTATTTTCCAATCGCGACTAGCAATATTAATTGAAGTTAAAAAAAAAACAAATATAATATTGTATGAGTTCGAGTTAGATTCATAAAATGATAATTAGTTTGATAGTTTTAATAGGAAATATATAAAATATTAATATCAGAACATTATAAATCATGTATTAATGTTGATCATCGTTCATTATTTTTTAGAAATACATTTATATATATTTTTAATTATTATATATATATTCAAATTTAATTTAAATTGATCATTTAAGTTATATCATTCAAAATAATTATAATCGGTATGCTTAAAAAATATTGGATATATACATATTTTTTGTATTATGTCAATCAATTTGTATTTATTTTTCATATTAAACCAATTAATATTTTTATTTATATTAGAAACAGTTTTATTGCATAATTTTTATTAATAATATTGACTGTTATCTAAGTAATATTATTTTTTAAAATTTATTAATCATTGATAAAATTATAAGAATATAAATATAAACATACATGAAAACAAGATTATTTTGACAATTATTTACTGAAATATTGATCGATACAAATTATGAAGATAGTTCAGGTATTTACCTAGGTAAGGTCGTAAGTCATTTGCACAATCTTTAAGAATTTACTCTAAATATTTATTAATTTATTCTAAATTAATTCTTAAAATTTCTTTTATATAATTTAATTTAAATTGAAGTGAAAAAAATATAGATTGAATAAAATAATGATATCAATTAAATGATTGTTATGACAGAAAATATAAAAAATATAATACAAATTTCAATAAAATTCTATGATTCTTATTTAATGATCGAAAATCTTTAAAAATTTAATTTTTTAAAAATTCAGTATAGAAAAATATTTCCTTTATTTGTTATCAAAACATTAAGATTTTTCATCAAAAACTAATAAATCTTTATAGAAATGAATAGGAATGAATTTGTTAGTTGCTTCTCAATCGAGAATTCGTGCAGAAGAAAATGGTCACAGCGGTTGTTTGACCACAATTTCGATGATACCAATTGTGAAAATAAGTCTATTCGTAATCAGATGGTTACGTCTACGATCTACCATTTAATATTCATACTGTTATGACTATTTCTTATCTACGTCATATGATTAAAAATAAAAGTTACTATTCAATTCAATTCGTATAATTACTCAATTCGTAATATTTACTTATGCAGCCAATGATTTTGTGGAAATAGTGTCATATTTGGCATTACGCATATTGTTATAAAAAATAATTTTGCAATGCAATTTGTATTCTTTGTCTGATGACAACTATGTTCAAAGGTCTTCAGATATTACTCTAAATAGATAATAAATACATTTCATATATCTTAATTTATTTTTTCGATAATTTCAATGATTCATCGTTATATTGTCAGAATTTAGCATTAGACATGTTAGAACATCTTAATATTAATAAGTAATGAAACTCATTCGCTTATAGAAAGGTTCATATTCAGGAAATAATTAAATATAAATATTCCGTGGCGGAAAAATATGTTCTTTTTATACACAACATACATATCCAAGAAATCGATCGTCAATGTAGAATTGTAATAATACTTGAAAACTAGTTGCATTTTTATTTGTGAACAACTCTCATTTACAATATAATATACTTATTGCATAATATTTCTGATTTTAAACTTCTATAATGTAATTGTATAAAAAAAACTATTGTATGCTATTGAATGTTCGAATTTCAATTAAGCATAATTGATGTTTTTGCATTTCCATTATGTGATTCCATTTATTTGAATCATATAATTCATGAAATCATGTACAAGTAATCATATTACCTTGTTATTTATTGTAAACGATGCTAAAAGGCGATAGACAATTTATCAAGCAATTTATTGCAGTAAATTACTCAATATTGTTAAGTAATATTATTTTTTTTAAATTATATTTTATAATTTATAATTTATTATAAATTTTATTATTATAATATTTTTTTCTCAAACGATAATTTTCAGAATTTTGCAGAATTTTTTAAAATATTTATATAATGTGCATATTTTTCTCAATATTATTTCGGCTATTTCTAATACCAGAAAATTAACGTAAAATTGACCAACTATTTTTTATAACAAATTCAACGAAATTATGGAAAATTATTGTTACATTTCGATATAATAAAAATATTGTCTATAAGTGTTGCTTCAATTTGCTTCCAGTTTCGTACTCGAGAATAAAAAATTATTTCTTTATACTTAAATTTATATTTAATTAATAGATAAACAATGAAATTTCTGAAACACGAAAAATGTATATTAATAATAAAAAATATTGCTAAAAATCTATAAATTATCTTTATAATATTTTATTCGATTATGTATTATTCATAATTAAATATATATATGTATGTACATATGGATTTTAAATATATATTTCTTGTGTGTATCCTCAGAATAACCTTGTGATATAGATTGTATTTCACAATCCGCAAATATTTTTTTCATTTCAATAATGATACGTTCTGAATCTTTGTCAATTCTTAATTTTCTATATTCTAGTTTAATAAAATTCTAGAATAAAAATTTTTGCTAAATATAAAAAAAATTAATGTAAGCATGTTATGTATTGATAAAAAAAATTTTAATGTGAAATAGAATCAATTACTTCACAGATATTAAAGCCTTCTACTCGTATATATACATATAAGAATAAATGGGATGTCAGTCAAACAATTGACAATATGATACGATCATGAGTATGACCGTATGCTATGCATACGTGTCATCTATAGACTGCCACTCATGGTGTCCGCATCTTACTTGATTATGACTAAACCGTACACGGTACTATGAAACTACGTTAGCGTTCTATGAATGAACGCACGTGCATTGTATTATTGGTCGAGGCACGTACTTAGATACATAAAAAGCCAAAAAGAGACAACGAGATGTATACATATAGAAAGGGACAAATGAAAGAACTGGAAAAGCATACTACCGGTTACTATTTGACCATACAAATCAATATATTTATGAATATAAGTTAGATCTATACGAATTATTTTTAGTTTTTCTATTCCTTCTTATTCCTAAAAAGGAAAAAGAAAAAATAATGAGAAATAAAAAATAAATAAATAAAAAAAAAATCTGATCTGAATGAGGCCGTGAATACCATTCATTAAACACTTCCTTAGTTGATTAAACGAATTGTTTTGAAATATCCTGTTGTTAACAATCAACAAATTATTGTAAAATGAAATACAGAATAATTAAAGATGCGATGAAAACTTAATTATATGGATTTCTAAATGCTTATTGTGTTGATAGATAATTTGTGTTTGATAGACAATATTCAAACAAATATTATTAATGATTGAATGGAAAATTACATAGTTGCGTAATGATATTTATAAAAATCGATATTTTGATATAAATTATAGATATTTGATTGTAGATAATTAAATTTTTTAATATTTTTTTATAAATCTTTTATGATAATAAAAATTATAATATATAAAATTATAATAAGTATGGAAATTTTCTAAATAATTATTTATTTCATAAAATATCTCAGAAAATATATATGTAATATATATGATTTCAAATAAATTGTTATTATGACGTACATTTAAGTACTTTAAACCTTTTAAGTATCACAATTTTCTTTATCAGATTCGTTCTTAAATTATGTTGTATATTTTTGTCAATAATTACATAAATTTATCTCAGTAATATAACAAGAGCCTCAAATTATCAAATTTAAATTTAATAATCAAAAATTGGATTAATTTTGTTTTGATTTTAATTTCTAACAATTATTGCATTTATTATAAAGGTAATTTAAAAAAACATTTGAAAATATGAGCTCAATACCTAATTTCATAAGAAACGATGTTTGTGGAAATGAATTGGAAATCTGATATTAATATATGTAGTGTTAGTTACTTTATGCTCATTATTCTGTTTATATATATTCATTGCAATAATTAATTGTAATACATATATCGGTATGTAATTTAAGATTTAATAGAAAAATTATATGAAAAATTTATTGTATTTATTTTCAGTTTCAATTTATTAAAATTGCATATCAAATAATATTTGTATTAGAAAATAAAATTTGAAAATAAAAGATGTGAAAACAATCTATGAAATTTTATTATATATATATCATATATATGAAATTTTATTTGATTTCCCATAATATATTAGAAAATACTGATCAAAGGCTATAAAATAATATATGAGATAATTTATTAAAAGTGAAGTCTGAGATATCTCTTTTTTGTATGATTGTTTGAATATAATAATCTGGAATTCATGTGAATTAAATAATAAATTTTTTTTAAATATATTTCGTTAAATAAACTTGTCGTTATTTGTAATTTATTCGTTTTTTAGAAATATTGATATTTTTTTAATAAATTATCTATTTTATGTATTAAAAATTTGATATCTTTAAAGTATATGATAAAACTTCTTTATATTCTTTATATATTCCTATATTTTTGAAATAAAATTTGATAAAAATTATATCTATTAAATTATATTAAAACTTTAAATGAAAAATAGATAAATAATAATTGTAATTTAAAATTGTATAAGAAAAATTTCATCTCAATTGTGTTTGTGTAAAATATCATAATACTTTAATCTTATCATGTGTACCATGTCTATAGTCGAGTCTTTTATTGCGTTAGCAGAGTATTCGAGTACACTTTGAAGGCCGTTCTTAGCCAATGTCGCTACATTTCATTCATTTTTTTTTCTTACTTACTACTGTATTTCATTTATTCGTTCAATGTCTTCATAGTATCCTTTGTATTTTCATTAAGATTTCGATTTGTATCTTCGTTTTACAATACTGCTAGTGAAAAAACTTTCTTAGTATATATATTAAATATATATAAAATATATAAAAACAAATATCTTTTTCTTCAATTCTAATTCATAAATTATACTTCATTATTTTTATAAACTGACTTTATTTTATAATTTTTAAACATGTTTTTTATTGAAAACTAGATTCAATTCATCTATTTGCCTATTAATCTCTTGAAAATACATGGCACCAAGTTCGACCTTCTCCCCCTAAAATGCTTTTAGCTCAGCAGTGAACATCTGCACCTATGTGTAGCCAACCCTCCAACCGAAAATAGAAACTATTATGATGAAGCATCTGTACTGAAAGTAGAACAAGGAGAAGAAATCTTAGTGAAATATGGGATCAAATATATGTCGCTTATCAACATAAAGACAACTTTGACAAATCATTTATAATATCCAGAAAAATGTATATATAATATTGGATTTTTTAGAATTTTGAGCAAGTTAATTATAATTATAGTTACTTATAAGAGAAGAAAATCATTATTTGTAGCTTTATGCAAAATATCGAATTAAATGCGTCAATGATATATCTGCGAATAGGAAGAATGATACATTTGCAAGTCATTCACATATAGATTTTATAGTTAATCGTAACATACGAAAGAATACACATAGCTCATGATAAGAACTAAGAATAAAACATGCGTCAAGGTTTGCGGTACATGTAAGTACGAAAAATGCTAATATAATCGATATATAATCGACGTTAATAGAAAATGGAAAAAACGATGAATCACTTATAATTTGCAATTAGGTAAAAAAATAATGGTAAAGAAATTATTGAGTTTCCTGAAAATATTATAATTATCTATAAACGAATTAAGGAAAAATCATATCTGATTTGCAAAATTATATAATATAGTGTCTAAATATGCATATATATAAAATTTATGAAATGAAAATGTTTCTTAAAATGTTTCAAAATTCATTCAAATAGTTCGATAGAAATCTTTGGAATAAGAAAATTTTTGAATTTAATTGGTACTGTAGTAGAAGGTCAAGGTTTCAGTGACATGACGCGATATACAAGTTCAGCGAGCCATCACGACATATGATTCTTTTCATTTCTTGTGTTATACTTGGAATTCAGTTTCTCCAGATAACTGAATGTTTGTGAAATATATTCAGAAACAAAAATGTTTTCATATATAGATTGATCGTTTTCGTGAATTGTAATTTTCATTATTTATGTTTTCAAACTTATTTAATAAAAATGTAATAAAAATTAAAATCATTATTATCTGAAATTTAATATTTCATTAATGAAAATTTTTAGAAATAATTTCAAACTTAAATATAAAAAATTAAGAATATATGTATAATACTTATAATATTGTTATTAAGATTTTATTACTAATAAAATTATTCAATCAAGAAATCGTAAATCTTTTTATGTTTTACAAATTTGTTTGTTTGTCTTTTATGTATATATATAACATTTTCTATATTTGAAAAAAGTTTAAACAATATGCATAAAAATTTGCGCGATATTGATAAATGTAATAATCTAAGATTATGAGCACCGCTGTTGAAAGGTGATTATGTATCATCATTGGGTGTGGGTACGTACCGTATGCCGTATGGTCACTATACGTTATACACTGGTCGGATGTATGTCGTCGACATCGTGAGATGCTAGAGCAAGAGAAGTTCTCTGTTGATCTCTGTTTTGTAACATGGACAGAGTTACCATCTGAATATCCTATTCCCAACAGTTTCTAGCACAATATACAAGCATAAATGCACTGGAATTTGATCAAGAAACGTTTCATCCAATCTAATCGAAGAAATAACAAAAATGATTTGAATGATTTTTTAAAGTTATAATTACCAAAATTATCTTATTTTTTTAAACATATTATTTTTTACAATTTTCTTGATTGTTAATACATCGTATAAGTCAAGAATTAACATGGCAAATCTGAAGAACGTACTAGAATGAAAAACATAATAGTTAGCGTGGCTATTTTGTTTACATTAGGAGATCGCACAAAACGTCCTTTCGTGTTACTTAACGATTGTTCCGCTTCTAGTGACTAATTCTTCAAGGAAGACCCGCAGGTGCAAATGTACCGAGCTTCAGTAGCACGCTTAACTACTTTCTTGTTTATTTGATTGACTGTTTTGTGGAATAGACGTTCGTTATTGTTTTAAATAGATTTTAGATTTTGTAATTAAGATTCAAATTGTGAATGATAATAATGCGAAAAAATTAAAGAAATATTTGTAAAAATAATTACACGATAAAATTTTCTTGCAATGTTTGTGGGCTCAATACCAATATTTCATACAAGATTATTGTCAATACTAACAATAATTAATAATTTTCATTTTTCGTAGAATATTCTTCTTTTTTGAACATATCATAAGAATCATGAATTTCGTTCTTTTTTTGTAATAGTTTCATATTTATTTTATATTTAAATATTACGTATTTAAAGTACATATAAAGTACAAATGTTATAATGTAGAAATTTATTTCTTTATGTTAAAACAAAAAAAATATCTATGTTGCTATTTATATATCTAATAAAAATAAATATGGTTTATTATTTAATTATAAATTATAAATAATAAATAATGGAAAATTGGATGAATGATATTTGGTGAAAAGTGAAATCATCATACATATATGGAATAATGCAATTTGATGATTGACAAACAATCGATGATAGGTCTATGTATTCTCTTCACTTTTATGTACGATTAGAAAGCGTATAAAATTACAGGAAGCATTAACTATTCACTTTTACTCTAAAGATTCACAGATATTCGCTTCATTGCAAAGATTGTTATAAATATTATAAATATTTTACACTTGTAATAAATTTATATCATTTATGCAGTTTATGATTATATGAATAAGTTTATAATGTTTTAAAATTGAAAATTAGATAGTTGATTTTTTGTTAAAAAAATTTTCGTAAGAAAATAATTATTTTATTAAAATAAATATATAGAAATTTTTATTATGAAATTATCAAATATTTACTTTGTAATATTTAATAATCATGATATATTGTATATAATTATATATATTGTATCATGATATTATTTGCGTTTAACATGAACATATTCTATGAACAAAAGTTAATGAACAAATGATAATAATTAAATAATTATTGCCTATATATATATATATATATACACATATTTAATTTTCATACCTTAGTTATTGCTCGCGTAAAATGAAAAGAACAATCTAAGTAATTCAAACAAAAGATTTAATATTTGTTTACATATGTAACATGTAGATACATCTCGAGCATAAATTCTTAATGATTCCAATGCCGGAAGCTGCACTTATGGTTGTACGACTTTTCCTAGATTCTAGCTGTCAAGTAACCATTGCCAACTTAAATCTAGTTATTCATTAAATCCTATGTGAAATACAATTAATATTAATTTATTATATATTAATAAAATTTATTTCGAATTATTAGAAGATGAATAATTGTATATAGTTTTTGATAAAGATGCAAAATAATTTTAAATATGTTGTTGCCATACCAATTTGCATTTGATTATTAATTTCTTTTTACACTTCTTTTATAACTTATATTATATAATTATCATAATTACAAGTATGTGATGTAAATAAAAACATATTGATATGATCAATCTGACTGCAATATCAAAATATACATATTTATATATATATTTTATATACTATATATATAGTATATATATTCATTATTATATATTATATACTTGCATATGTATATGACATGCGTTCAGAGATGAATAGTTCCAGAACTTTAAAACTTTTTGATTATTTTAATTTATACTTATGCAAAACTTAAAATGATTACGATTTTAGTCTTTATAATTTGAAATATTTATAACTGATTCATATCTGAAAAAATTTTTATTTTATTTTTTATAAAAACTTTTATAAATTAATTTTTACCTAATAAAATTTTTGATAAAAAATTAGTAATATTAAAATCATTAAGTTCAGTTAAAATATAATAATTTTAGATCAAATTAAATTTTGAATAGTTATAATCAAATTTTCTTACATTTCTTATTAAGTACGTGGTTCTTTTATAACATAAGACGTTACTGTTTAATAGCTGTTCGAACTTTGTGTTTCTTCCATTGGCAACAGTGTGCAGAGTAGTATTCAGTGCGTCGTGCGAAAATTAGTCGAGCTTGGCGAGGTCGCCTTTTGCGTTGGCACGGAGATTCGGTTCGTGCATGTTTTTAGTTACAATTTCGAATCGAAAAAACCGCGTACATTTTTATCTCTATGCTCGTTATAATTCGGTGGAATAAGAACGAAAGTGATGAAGTGTAATTCTGTGCTTGAACGTATAGGGCGTAGCCAGGCATTGTGCAAAATCGGCTGAAAACGAATGACGATAAGGCGGTGCGTGACAGTCTGAGTCTGCCATTGGAAAGGATATCTTGTTGTCTTTTTCGCACCTAGTGGTATTTTGTGTACTCGCGGGGTTCGCTGCATCATCATCATCATCTCTCTCTCTCTCTCTCTCTCTCTCTCTCTCTCTTTCTCTCTCTCTCCTTCTTTTCTATCTTTTTCTCTACTAGCTTCTTGTACCGTATACTGTTCAATCGTACTCGTATACGTGCTATACAGACAAAATTGAAGACGTCCACGCATGGTGCAGGCTCAATTGCAACAGAATTCCGAATTTAAGTACAAAGTAAGTTATATTGACATTCTCTATTTATTTTTCGTTTCAATACTTTCAATATAAAGAAGATTTACTATATTTGATTGATTGGATCGGATAAAAATATAAATAAGAAAAAGATATAATATCTATGGGGTGTGGATTCATTGACTGTCAATGAACAAATAATGTTTAGTTTTTATACTTCTGGCACACCCATCGCTGCGTTACTGCGTTGGCCAGCGTGTGAATATGAAGCGGAAGGACGAGTCCCTGAGTAAAAGAGGGAGAGTAAAAAGCCGGCATACCACAACTTAGACTTCGTTCCATTTTCCTGCTTATTGAATTATTTCTCTCCCAGGGATTTCACTCCGTTGCTCTGTCGATTAATCTTGCGGGAAAGGAACACGGTTTTATATGATTTCAATTATGATAATGCAAAATTATTCTCGCATAGAAAGTGATTTTTAAATTTATCCTTTTTTATTCTTTTTTTATTAAAAAAATATTTTCGTTTCTTCAAAACCAAAGAAAAAAGAAAATATAATAGAAAAATTGATAGAAATATATATACGAAAAAACCGTATGTCGTAGAGTAGAAAACAAAATTCTGACATACGCTTTGTTCCAACTGGTATTCGACTTTCTCGTACCTAGCACGAGTTTCACGCTCCTGTCACGGTGCCGCCTTGCGTGGTTAATCATTGTTGTGCATTTCTAAAAGATGATTCTTCTTTTTCTTTTTTTTTAAGAAATTTCAAATTTATTTTTTTATTATGAAATCATTGAAAACATATATTTATCATTCGAATTTCATCATAAGCTACAATTAGACTGTTTCGATAATTTATACGTATGATTTGAATAAATTTCATTTAAACTTTTAAATTTTGATTTATAGCTAAGATAACAAATAAGTCGCGATTTTTTAAATATCAAGATAAATACGTTTTATATATATATACTTGAGTTATACAATTTCATCATTTTTATGATTAAACAGATAATTGAACATAGAATACAATCGTAAGATAATTATAAATTGGTACGATTGATATTTTATGCAAACATTTATGCTCTTTTATTTTTATTTATTTCTTCTTTTGTTATTTGTTTATTTTATATACAATAAATTCTTTCGTTATTATGTATATGTATATAAGTATTTATGTATATGATAATACATTATTCATTATTTATCTGTTTAAAGCTCTAAGATACAAATTTCTTTATCATAATTCGGATGATACTGATGGATATTATAAAATACATTCAATTTTAAAATCTTAATAATCATACTTCTATATGAGAATTTTATTTTGCATATTAACATGATTTTGATTTATTATCATTAAATAATGCAACTAAAAAATAATATGTAATTTTTGAACATGATTTATTTGCAAAGCAAAAAAAATTTATGCTTTATTTAAATCATGCGTAAGTTAGTTTTAATATAATATTTACTAATATATATGTTTTTTTTCAATAATCTTGAACAATTGGATCATATCGTTCTTTTGTCGTAGGTGGATGATCAACATGAGCAGCAGATGACTGTTAGCCGAGCTGATGCTCGTTCAATTTTAATATGAGTGAAGTAGTGGCTGTAACACCTAGTGGTGGATCAACACGCCAGGAAAGCGTGGTACACATCAAAAGACATAAATTAGCCAACTGTAATGTTCCTCTCGTACACGGACGTTCAAATCCACCGATTAACAGCCGTAATAGGCTGACCACGCATCAACGAAATCACAGTTTGGATTTTAGGTATGTAAATGAAGCTATCGTGTAAATACTTCCGGAGAATATTTATAGTTAGTGATAACATGATTTTTTAGATTCTGGTTATCTACAACATAGTTCATTCTCGAATTATCTATAAAAATATTTGAAATGTATAAGAAAATAAAAAATAAAACAAATCTAAATTTCGAATTATTAATTTCTTAAAAAAAATAGAATTGTGATATATAATATTAATTAGATAAATATTAATTAAAATAGAAATTAATTATATAAGTAAATAATTTATTTTAAAAAATTTTTTCACATTAACGTTAAATTTTGCATTTGAATTATTTTTATATCATCTTATATATTCTATTTTGTGTTATGATGTGACGAATGGAAAAGCAATTTATATCGCTATAAATTTTAATCGGTTTAAGTTATAAAATTAGATCGGCTGATAGTCATTCAAAATTTATTTCTTGGTATTGCGTGTTTACAGATCAATGGGTATTTTGTTACCGCCAGTCCCACAGGCAAGCGCGACCACGCTGACGCACCATCACAGAAATCGAAGTCTTGATTCCGCGCTTCAACGTATTCCGGAAGTGGATGTGACACCAAGTCCAGAATGCGAGACGACACCTGCTCCGGTAACTAAAGTGGTCGTAGTACCGGCGTGCAAAGCGCGCAGCCGGGAACGCGAAGATCTTGCCAGTCTCGGGTCCGACGACTCGGGTATACTTTGCGGTTCCGATAGTGGTTCTAGCGACGCAACAAACGTTGCCACTAGAGAATCGAGCGTTGATCATCTGCATAGCCGTGAAAGCCTCGACTCCTCGTTATCCCAACCAGGTGACATGGATAGCATGGATACAGTGGATGGCGAAGAAACTAGTGCTCTGGATTCAGTGACGGTGTCGGTGCAAGTATCACCTGTGGAACTGGTGCACTTGAGTGAACCTTCGTCGAAAAAGGGTGGTGATTGTAATAATAGTGAGCCACATAAACACGGA